TTTTTTGTTTTTTTAATCTTTGTTGAGTGCTTAACTATGTGCCAGGCACTGATTTAAACTCTTTAAGTATATTAATATTTTTAATCTTCAAAACTCTACAAAGCAGATAATATCATTCCTTCATTTATTAACACATTTATACCAAGTGCCTGGCACTATTCTATGCCCTGGCGTAGAATATGAACAAAACTAAGTACCTGCTCTGCACAGTTTATAATGCTCATCAGGGGTACAACTCTGTGTTTAAATCTTCTGCTTCACCTCTTAAAAGTTCTATGACCTTGGGGAGGTTACCTAATCTTTTTGTGCTTAAACTGCTTTCTCTGTAAAGTGCAAATGATAATAGTTCTTACCTTAAGAGGCTGATATGAAGTGATCTGGTTTGATATTAATGAGTTAATAGTTGTAAAACAAAACAAAACTGAGTATGGGAAATAAATGAAGACTAGAGACAGATGAGGGGGTTTCATTTCATACAGGAGGATGGGAAAAGCCTCACCGAGATGACGTTTAAACAGACACCTGACAGAACTGAGAGCCAAGATCACATGGCCATCTAGGGGAGGAGTGGTCTGGGCAGAGGGAACAGCATGTACAAAGGACAGAGGAAGGGGTGTGCACAGTGTGTTCGAAGAACAGCAAGGAAGCCAACACAACTGAGAAAGGGAGTACAGTAGGAGGTGAGGACAGAAGGAAGCAAGGAGCGTGATCAGGAAGAGCCTTGTAGACTATGATGACAACCCTCTAGTTTAATCAGAACTTTAGGGGAGTGAGTATAGCTTAGCTGTATAGCGTGTGCTTAGCATGCACGAGGTCCTGGCTTCAATCCCTAGTACCTCCATCAAAAAGAAAAGAAAAAGAAAGAACTTCATTCTGAATAAAGCAGGAAGCCTCAGAAGAGATCCCCAATAAGCTGTACCTTCTTCCCAACCAGGTTTTAAATAATTGGTAAAATAAAGAAGAGATTTTTACCTGATTTTCTTTCTCTGGCCCTCTTTAACGTAGCCCAGTGTAGAACAGTACTTGGCGGACAGTGGGCTCTCAAAAAATACTCGATGAGTAGACGATGGAAGAAACTCTGTTTTAAAGTAAAGATGGAAATCAACACATCAGCTTTATTACTGATAGAGGTGAAGTTGTTAGATGCTGCTTTGGGTTATTTAGCCAAGTGGACTGGCTAATGTTGAATCCCAATATTAGGCAGAAAGAACCACTGATCAGTGCATCCACTGGTGGGGCAGAGGCAGCCCAAGAAAGAGTTACAAGATGGTAGAGCAAGAGGAGAGTGCCGGGGGATGAAGTACCACGCCTGGCATCTTGTCCCAAACTTATCAGATAAGTCAATCTGTCTTCCCAGGAGCAGGGTGTTTAGAGATAGAGAGAAGCCAGGAATGTGCTTAGTAATGCTCTCTCCTTAAGGAAACCAGGAGAGGAGGAAAAGTACACCCCTCTAACAACTGAGATAAATACACATTTGAGGATCTGGAGCAGGAAAGGATATTTTCTGATTTACATTTTTTAAGGATTCCTACGATTTGCCCCTCCAGATGCCCTCCTTACCTTCCTCCTCTGGTTGGGTGCTTGGGGGTGAATGGGACTGGACTGTAAGAAGGGCATTGAGGAGCTCGGGCTGGGTAAGGTCCAAGTATTCTTCTGGATTCTGGTAACCACCTCCTGCACTCTGAGATACCACATCATTGTTTTTGGATTTCCCTCAAACCTGCCGTTACTTTTGTAAATTGTTCCTTTATTAAACTCTTCAAATTACTTAGTTTGTGTATGCCATCTGTTTCCTGCTAAGACCCTGACAACAAGATACAGTTCTGTGGGGAAAAGATTATTCAGCTGGGGGTGGAGGGTGCCAGAGGAGGAGGCAAGTATAAAAGCAGACCATTTAGGAGTGGACAATCCAGGTGAGAGATGATGGTGCTGAGCACTGTGGTAGGAACAAGAGACAGAGTGGGAAGTGGCTGGAGTCTGGAACTCATTTGAAGGTAGAGCCAACAGGATTTACTGATGCATCGGGTATGCACTCTAAGAGAAAAGTGTCAGGAAAGACTCCTCGTTTTGTAAATCTATGGAACAGAATGGTACTATTTAGAGGCTTGACAGAGGGAACTGTGGTTTTTCAGAGGTAGGAAGATAACCTCCCAGAATTTGCAAGATTGCGTTAGCAAATTTTCCCCTATTGGTCGTGTTCATCTCAAAACTGTAATTCCTAGAGCCTGTCTTGGGACCTTCTGCAGTTTCTTCAATCATCTCGAGACTCTTGCAGTATTTCCACCCAAGGGAATGAATTTTAACCCACTTTAATTAAGAAAGCAAAGCTGGGTGGATGCCACACAGTCTTTTTAGGAAAAAGGAGGAAAAAGAGTATTTCAAACCAAATTACCAAGGGATGTTGCAATTGCGGTAACTATTGGCACAGAATAAAACCCTGAGTTTCTGAGCACTGAATCTTCTCACTGGACCCACTGGCCATACGAGTGGGTCTGACCACTACTGCCTACCTATACTGAGTAAATGCAAAGTATATTCAGTAATATCTCAGTTATATACAGGTGCACATGTGGGTGTGATGAAGCAAAAACCGAAAAGATAAAAACCATTTTCCTAAGACTATAGGTAATTTTTAATTTTCTCTTTATACTTGTCCACATTCAAAGTTTTCTGAAATAATCAGGTATTAGTTTTAGAAACACTTTATATTTTGATATTGCCTTCTTAGATGGGGCCTACTTAGCGGTCTGTGTAAAATTGTGACCCCTACCCAGCCCTGTCCCCGCCGCACTTTCACACAAACGCAACATGTAATTCTTGAGTCTTCTTCACAGTATGAATCACAGCCTGAAGTTGTATTAGTTGCTTATTGTTCAATCCCATCAATAAAATTTAGGATCTCTGAGGCAAGATGCTTGCCTGCCTCGGTCATTCTTCCAGTGCCTAGAACAGGGGCTGGCACTGAGTAGGAAGCTCAATAAATGTTTGTTAATTCACACACACACACACACACACACACACACACACACACACACACACTTTTATTTTAAAGGTATTTGGCAAAAGAGATTGTCATGGTGATTTTAAGAAATCTACACCACTTGTGTAGCGATACAAATAAAGTGATACAAATTTCCTAAGGAGAAATTTTACCATACATTTCTTAAAGACTAAAGAAAAATCATGACTTTTGATTCAGAAACTCCATTGCTAGGGCTTAGTAGAAGATTCTTGCATTTATTTACAAAAATGTCTTTGCAGCATCCCTGTAGTAGCATGAAAAATAAGGAGGTTTGGTTATACGTATTTTGAAGAAGCCAAAAAATAGTAAATCATTATAGCAAATTGCTGTAGAAAAATGTATATCATATATTATCAAATTTTAAAGTAGGTAATGAAGTAGCATGTTCAGTCTAATTCCTTATACATGGAAAAACTTGAAAACTCCAGATTATAAACTGTGGTTATTCCTGGATTGTGAGAATGTAGATGTTTCATAGTTTCTTCTGTGTGCTTATCTACACATTTTTGAATGTCTGCAATAAACTCGTGAAACAAAGTGTTGTTTTATGTTATTTCATTTTTCAAGAGTGTTAAAAATTATTATGAGCAATCCAGAATGGATTTCCCAAGGACTTGCAACTACAGCATATCTCAAAGTGGAAAAAATGAAATTTTCAAGGGAATTAGAGTCACAAAAATGTCTGAATATTTTCTCTTTACTTCTGTTATCCAACATTTATCTCAAGTAGAACAACATTTCTCTCTGGGCTCCAAAAGGGATTTGTAGAATTACCACCATCTGCCAACAGAAATTATTATTACAAACAATAATTACATTGACACTGAAAACCCTGGGGGGGTAAATACAAAAGTCACAATTCACTATTATCTTTGAGTAGAATCTGCAGAGGTTAGAGGCAAGTGGAGACAACCTCCTTCAAATTCAAATCAAATAAATAGTAGTAAGCACTCTGCCTGTTCTGGACTCACTGAGCTAAACCCTGAGAAACACAAAGTGTGTGATGCCAAGTGCTTGCTGACCAGTGACTATACTGATGCAGCCGAGAACATTTTCATCAGGGAGGTTGTTTTGGATGAGTGGAAAGGATAGTACCAGTGGTGAGGAGTGGAGTTGTGGACGGTGTGGGTTACTTCCTTAATCTGAGCCAGAGGGTACAAAAATGTGATCTGAAAGTTGAATCAGTCCTGTAGGTATTTTAAACACTTAGAGTGCTTAAAAATAAAAGTTTGAAATCTTATTTAATTCTTTTCGGACATAGCACTTAGCAGCTAGTCTAATTCAAAAGTTTAATTCATGAGCTCCTACAGGTATAGTTTTTGATCCTTGTATCTGAGCTATTCTTGGATCCCTGCTTGAAAGTTGGCCAGCATCTGTCAAACAAAAAATCCAGAGAACACTGCTCTTTAATGAGCAATATGAAAGTGTCATGCTGTTAAATTTTAATAATGCTAGCTTCCACAATACTCAGGAAATAGCTACTAGGTAGGATTTCCTCCTAGGCCTCTTTCTTAAAGCTTTGTCCTGCTCCTGTTTATCTGCCAGGGACAAAAACAAAAAACAAAAAGTTGCAAGCCAGTGTTAAAGGGAAACAACAAACAAAGCCGAGTAAGGGTCTGTGGTGCTGGGAAGCAGGGGTAGATGAATTTCTGCAGGACAACTGCCAGGATAATCAGAAGATAATCAGAAGTCCTCATTAGGGAGATAGAATAAAAATTTTAAAGCAGCCTCTAAATTTCAGGAATGGAATCCATTGATAAGAGTTCATTTTAAAAAGGAATCTCCACACTTGGAGCATGAGATCAGGCTTGTCAATTTCTGTCAGTTTCCAGATTCGTAATGGGTGACTTGGCACCCTGGCTGACAGGCTGGCAAGAAAAGAGCTCTCCTGTGTCATATCAGAGACCGCCACAGAAACCCGGGGCAATGTTATTTGTCACTTAAAGGAGGAGGCAGCCTGAGAGTGTCCCATCTGCCGGCTGCTGAGTCATCCCACTCTGGTAGCTATTTAAACAGAAGCGTCCAGCCGGCACGCAATCAACAGTCCACTCAGACAATGCCCAGACCGCCAGAAATCGTGTTCAGCTTGGATTGCCCGTGACAAGTACAACTTTCGAAAACAAGTTTCCGTCCTCTTTTCCCGGTATTGTCTGTCACTCTAGGGGGTTCTGACTTTTGGCTCCTTTCCTCAGAATGAGCCCATCCAGCCGATCCTCCAATGGAACCTTAGCCCCAGGGGCCACCAATTCCTGTTTCAACTTTTCTCACAGTCTTTCCAGTATTTCTTTCAAGTCAGCAAACATTGGCTGAGCACCTGTCACGGGTTAGGCGCTGACCTACAGGTAAGGGTTTGTTAAAGGATAAAGGAACACATTCCTTGCCTTTAGAGGCTAACAGTCTTGTGGAAGAGTCAGCCAGGTAACCAGGCAACCACAATACACCAAGTGATGGTTCCAGAACAGGTAAGTACAAGATGATGGTTTGGACCTTAATTTGAGGGGGTGGGGGGCACCAATAAATACCCTTCTCTGAAAGCCATGACCCTCTGTGTGTGGCTATCTGGGAGGAACTGAAGGGATGTGGGAGGCATCAAAGGGATATGGGAGGAGTGATGTTTTAGAAGGGCTTTTCCAGTCTGAAGGTGTATTTGCATTTCTACCTGTCTGCCAGCCGTCGCCCCATTTGACCTGGGCCCTCACGGCTGCTCTGTCTGGCTGTATTACTGATGCTTCTTTTCCATGCCCATCCTCTAGGTGTTCCCTTCAGTGTGTCAGATGAGGACTCTCTTCATACTTGGCTGTCATCTGTCAGCCACAACTGTCCTGTCCAGAAGCACTGGCTTTGGCTTTCAAGCCTGCTTCCTGGCTGGCTTCTTCCCCACTCCATTAAGGAGGATACCATTCGAAATCACATGTGCTGCAGGTGCTGCTGATGAAAGTGCTAAAGTTGCTGGATGTGACTGACGTATTTGGGAAGGACAGGACAGTGTGCCCATGCAGTTGTTGTGTCCAAATACTGTTCTTATCTCCCAGTGGAAAGGTACTGTAAATAAAGAGAAAGGCCCCTACCTTATTTTAAACATCTGAGCTAGGAGCTGTCCTAGGCACTACGTAAAAGCTGTATTTAGTTCTTGCAGTAGTAGTGTCCTTAGGTTAGAATCCCATGTTATAGACTGAGGAAAGTATGGCTCAGAGAGGTTAAGAGACTTACCCAAGGTCACACAGCTCTACAATTTTTGGTTGAGCGTGACTCTACACAGATCTATGTGAATTTGAATCTAGTCTTCTTTAAACTCCTGGTATAGTTCACAGAAGGAGCTGTGGAACGTTAACACGGCAGTAAGATTTCTGATTCCAGTCTGATTATGAGTCTTTTAAACATCATAGCACAAGTTTCTGACTCCTTGCTCTGAAACATGAAACTGATTGGAACAAATTAGAGTAGAAGGAAGCAACAAATGTCTAGTAAAATCTAATTCATCCAATGAAAAGATTGATCAATATGTTTAAGTTCACAGAACTTTTAAGTAGAATAAAAGACACACTGGGAGAGAGATGTGGGGAAAATATGTCTGTTTTTATGACTTGTTGATATCTATGGGGTTTTTCCTTAAGCCTCAAAACAATTTACAGCATTGCCAGCAGCATTCAGTACATTCAGAACAGGATCATTTCACCCACAGCTGAACTAAGGCCATGCCTGGGACAGCACCGAGAACAGCCTTCCAGCAGACATGCCAGGGAGTAAGCCAGGGTCAGTGAGTGAAGAGGCAAGCAGGGCCATTTAAAGCAACATCGTTTATGTAAGTGTGATCTAATTGCTTCCACTGGAAATGGGTCATATTCAAGTCCAAAGAACCAGGGGCCTTAATGACCCCAGTGAAATCAGAATATGGCTTTTCTGTCAATCTCCTCGGAGAGTATGGCCCTCTGATGAAATAATGATGCTTGGATTCATTTCAGTCTGCCAGGTTTCCCACTCCCTTCTTGCTTCCTCACTGTTGATTTGTTATTTTTCTTTCTTTTTGGTTAAACACATTAAACTCAACAGGATATATCATATGACAGACTGGGATAAATTTACTACTGGGAATAGGGGAAAAGTATGGGACAAAGAAATAGGTCTTTGTTGCCTCTCACAGTCGTGATTCAGTTCTGACTCAAAAGGAAGTGTGCCACCTACTGAATCACGGAAACCACTTCCTGTAGCTGTTTGGTTTATTCTGGAAGGGCATCAGGCCAAGTCCTGCCCTGCCCTGACCCTGACTGGCTCTTCAGAGCCAAGGCGTTCACAGCTTGAGGTGGTTTGGCCTCAGACTCTGAGAACATGACATATTAAATTACAAGTGTCTCATTTCCTAGCAAGGAGTCTTCAGCAACATGAAAATGAACATGTGTTATTTGCAAACTGAGTGTATCGTTACTCAACCTGAATATCCTTACTATTTCAGAAGGTATGTATTGTGCATGACCACTCTCCAGATCTAAATGTACACTGGCTCTGTTTTTCCTGAGGGTCACATGGGCAATCTGTAGGGTGGCATTAACCAGATGAAGTGGCAAGTGTACCCTTTCATCTGGGAAGCAACTCTAGACTTGTCTTCATTCATTCAACGTATTTGTGAGCACATGCTCACTGCCACGTACTTGCGTAGCTGTAGAGGATACAGTGGCAAACAAGACCTTCCGGCTCCTGACCTCATGGTACTGATGTTCTACACTGTATGGAATACATTCTCCCCTCTAGAGGCAGGGGCTGGGCTTTGCACACCATTAAAAGGAACATCAGCTAAAGTAAAGCTGTTGTTTCCTCTCTACCCACAGAACATTTCGGACACCAAGATGTGTGGTTTTTCCTCACCAAGAAATTCTCCAATTCTTGGCAAACACGGACGGAGTAGCCTACAGTTTAACTCAGTTCTGACACTGGTTGCCTGGAGTTAGCACAGACCCCTCAGGTTAAGGGCTCAGTCCCATCAGACTACTCCGGACTTCACACACCAAGTCCCACTTGTCACCTGGACTTCTGAACATGTTACATTGAGCATTCCCACAATTCCCTCCTGAGGTTTGATAACTTGCCATAATGGCTCACAGAACTCAGAAAAAATACTTTACTTATGTTTACTGGTTTATTTTAAAGGATACAACTCAGAAATAGCCAGGTGGGAGATTTATATAAGTCAAGGTTTTGGGGGTGGAGGGTTAGGCAATGGAGCTTCTGTGTCCTCTCTGGGTGCATCACCCTCCCAGTACCTTGATCTGTTCACCATCCCGGAAACTCTCCAGACTCCATAGTTTAGGATACACAAGGAGACTCCATTACATAGGCTGACTGAGTCAGTCATTGGCTGGTGGTGATTAAGTCCATCTCCAGCCCCTCTCCCCTCCCTGGAGGTCAGGTAGTTGGTTGGAAATGTCCAACCCTCTAATCACATGATTGGATCCTCTGGCCACCAGCCCCATCCTCCTAGAGTTACCTTATTATCACAAACTCAGGTATGGTTGAAAGGGGCTTATCATGAATAGCTAAAGATGCTCTTATCACCACTATCACTCAGGAAATTCCAGGAGTTTTAGGAGCTCTGTGCCAGGAACCAGGGAGGAGGACCAAAACGTCTATTTCTTATTATATCATAATCATGCAGTCTCAGCATCCAGCATTGGCCCTTGCATGAAGGAGTCCCCTCAATACTTGTTGGTAGAGTAAATATACAAAAGAAGAAAGAATAAAAGGAAGAAGGAAGGAAGAAAGGGAGGGAGGGAAAACCATCTCATTATTATCCTTTGTTGTGTTTGGAAGTGAAGATGAAAGCATCCAGTTTTGTATTGCTTTTTTCCTTCTTGTAAACTACGGGTTTCTGTTCTTAGGTGGGTCTGGGGATTCTACAGTGCCGCAGAACACATCGGGCTCTTTACCGGGATGTTCTGGAACCCAGGAGGCCCATTCTGAGATCAAGTCAACACTTGAAGTCCTGAGAATCCCCTCTGAGAGCAAAAGGCTCTTTGTTCTTCTCTTCAGAGGGTCACAATCGCTAATGACAGAGAATCTGTCATTCCTCTGGTGGTCCATGCCCAATAGATGCGTTCAAGAATGGTTGCACATCTGTGCAACATGAAGCAAATAATTTACCCACCTTATAGAAGAGGTCTGAGAAGTCAAGGAAACCATATCTAGAATGGTGCTTGGCACACAATAGGCTCCTTGTAAACAGAAGCCATCACAAAGGCAACTTCTCTTATTCTCATTACTGTCACTGCTCTACTACTGTTACTTTGGTTGCATCTATAAAGCCAGCAGTTTTTCCTGGGTATGACCAGTGGCCTTAGGTTTAACAATAGCATCCTACAGTTCAGGGTGTCTCCTCCTTTCTAAACCTGTATTTTTCTTTGAACAGATCATAAAAACCTTAAAATGACATCCAGTTGAAAATCCCTGTCAAGAAGATACTGTCTGGGTTACTTACAAGTTTAATCTTAGAGAGCAATATTTTTTCCCCAAGCATAAAATTATAACATTGAATGTTTTTAAAAAATCATATGTAACTCAAATATAAGTAATGTTAAAAGATAAACAGGCATATTAAAATTATTAAGTATTTATTTGAGCAAAGATTGAATTAAATTGGGCAACACCAAACCAGAAGTGGTTAGGAGGGCTCCAGTGACAGGAGCCTGGGGAAAGAATTTTCTAGAAAAGAACTGGAAGCAAAGTAAAAGATTACTGGCAATAGTGTAAGTAGTTGCATTAATTGGAAAAGACTCATTGGCTGTTTGTGACAGGGTGTCCTTAGGTTTCGATTTCTTAGCCTCAAGGCATTTATAGGCTTGAGTTTTGGTTTGCTTACTAGGCTGCTAAGGCATTCGAACAACATTAGACTAATGGCCTCCTGACTTAATTAACCTAAGGTAGGTTGTTTTGGCCCTGCCCTAATTAAGGTCTATTCTCTGTACATTTGACATAAAAGAAACGAAAGAAGAAACCAGAAGGAAAAGAAAAAGAAGAGGAGAAGAAGTAAGAAGAGATGCAAAGGGGGGGAAAACATCCCCATCAAAAACACTGAAGAGAAATGGAGGTTTTATTGAAGCTCTCTCAAGCACTGTTGAGGCATCTGTACTGTAGCGCACATCACAAATGTAACTACTGTCTTGCTGAAACCTTGTTTATTTTCCCTCAGAGTTTCTCTTTCTATAGAAATCCCAACATCTCCCTTCATATAGCTTCTTCCTGACTTGGATGGCTCTTTTCTCACCTCTCATCCTCCAGATTATCCCAGAGGTGGCCGGCCCCTCTGTTTTCAGAAAGATCAATTTAACCTCTTCTCAGCCTCCTTAGGTCCCCTCACCTATCACGACATCTGGCTCAACAAAGGACAGGAAGTTAGATGCTAAGTGAAACTTCCCCAAATCGAGACATTCAGGTAGCCAACCATTCTTAGAGCAATTTACAGCAAGCAAATAAATTAGTTCACAAGAGTCTCAGAAACCCAACAGTAATTTAAACCTTCATCTCCAGGTACAGTTTTGCTACTGTTTTTGTTCTGCTCACTGATGTATAGCAAGTGCCCACAAGAACACTTGGCATAAATATTTATTGAATAAATAAACAGTTAGAGAATTAGCATTTCAAGATATCTTTTCTATAGTTTTTCTCAAATGTTTTGTGTGAGACAAGTTGTCACACATGCATGCCTCCATAGAAAAGGATACAATTTTCTGTCATTACTTTTTTATTATGTCATTTTAGGTCAAATGTTACAAAAAATGATATTGAACTCTTAACCAATCTATTTTTTCCATTGGAATATTGGCCTGACTGAGAAATAACATCAAGGAAAAATTATTTTTTTGGCAGAAAAATGTCCTCACTAAATTCTTGTATGTTTTGTTTTGATTTTTCCTTAGTGACTGGAGGTCAGTTTCAATCCACTAAAGCACAGATTCCAAATTTTCAATCTGGTTTTCTTGAGTACAGCCTGGGTGCCAAGAATGAGGCAATGACACAACATCACTACCAAGACACACACACACACACACACTCACACACACACACACACACACACACACACACACCAGAGTCCAGGGCATGTTCTGCTGACTTGCAGGCTTCTCCCCTCTAAAAGTTACTCTCAAAATCATACTTTTAAATTTCAAATGGATCTATTCCCTCTCTCTCTAGCCAATTCTTAGTGACGTTTTTTGTCTAATCCACTGATCAGGGTCTTCCAGACCCTATAAGCTATCATAATGGAATCATCTATTGACCAAAGATAATGTGTCCTCTACTTATCCTTTCTTGCTTCCTTTTAAAACTTGGATTTTCAATATGCTTGTGAGTGAATCAATGACTATAAATGTAATTATTGGAGAAACGATCATTTTGCTTTAGCCCAATAAAAGAGGAACTAAGTATTTTTGGCAGCCCCCAAAGAATCACATGTTATTAAACACGTGTTGTAGAGGAGGGGTAGTGCCCTGAAGGAAAGAGTGGCACGCTAGACAGCCAAAAGAACAGACATCCACTACAAGTAATTTGAGTACCAGGTTTGGGTGAGACCCATCTCTGCTGTGAGACTGGGGACAATTCACTCAGTATAAGCCTTAGTTTCTTCAGCTATAACTCAAGTATTGATATACTTGTCTCCTTACTTTGTAACTCTCCTTACTAAAGTTAACTGTATCTGTTGTTCTGTGAGTCTTCAATTCTCAGATTAATCTTTTCCGGTTATAGCCACATTCTCTATCATTGACAGAGAAGTTCACCTAGTTATTTTGGCTTCTCTAATCCTGCTGCTGAGAACACCTCTGAGGGAGCTTTCGGTCAGGAGCTGACAATGGCATTTAAGGTCACTTGTGCTGTTGGTAGAGAAGGAGAATTTGAAAGGACACCAGTATCTAACCACCAATAATATATATATATTTAATTTGGACCTAGTAACTTCCCTGATAACGATATTTAGCTCATATTTGTTATGTCCTAATTAATGCCAAGCTTTTTAGAAAATCCATCACCTCATTTAATTCTTACAGTCATCCTTTGAAATAAGGTTTCAGGGTGTTTGACTATAGTTACGGGAAAAAAAAAACAACCCAGCCTCCAGCTAACTTAAGCAGTAGGGCCTTTGTTGGCCCACATAACTGGTAGTCTAGAGAGGGTAGCTTCAGGGTTGGTTTATGGATCCAGTGGCTCTAAAATGTCACCAGCTCCCCAGGTTCTGTCTCTGTCCTGATATCCACTGTTGGACCCCCTCTTGTACCAATTTCCCTCTATAGAATGGCTATCAACAGGAAACTTGCTTACTTACGTATATCTAGCAAAGGAGAGTGAGTACCCCCACAATGAAAAAAGCAAAAAAAAAAAAAAAAAAAAAAAAGGCTTCTCCTCCTCATGGTCCACCTAACTTTAGTCAGCTGCTTAGCTCTGAGACAGCAGCTCCTGGGGATGGAAGTTAGAGGAAGGAGGAATATCATGATATAATTAACTCATATTCCTGAATCCATTTATCCTGATTGATTTGGATGAATTAGAATTTACTCCTGAAGGTGGGGCGATTTTCTGAACGACACTGCCTACTACACAATGGAAGAGGAATTGAGCAAATTTGGGGAGCCAACTATAATATACATTACAGGAAAATACTGCTAATTCCCAATTTACAAATGAGAAAACTGAGGCATGAGGGAGAAAGATCAATTTGCCCAAGATCATAACTGGGCCTTAGAAGTCTGTCTCCATTCTAACAATTAATTTTTTTTCTCTGTGCATTTCTTCAAAGCTTATGATGTATAGGAGCAATTAAGAGAACGACCACAGCACTAGTCATCAAGAGATGAGATTACAATCCTGCTATATAACTTCTTTAAAAGTGAGAATGATAAAACTACTTACTGGAGTAGTGGCAAATATTCAGACAGAAACCAGGCAGAAGAGTGGCATCACATGGGAACTTGTTTGAAATGCAGATTCTTTGCCCTACTCCAGACCCACTTAGTCAGAAGCTCTGGGGGCAGGGTCCAGCAATATGTGCTTTAACAAGCCCTTCAGGTGATCTGATGGTTGCTAAAATTTGAGAACCGCTGGTCTAACACATTGCCTGGTGCCTAAGATTTTATGTGTTACTGTTCTAAAGACAATGAGGATATTGACTTCTGTCTCCAAGAGTTCACAATCTAGGGAAAGAAAGACAGAGTTCTTTATGAATGTCTTTAATACATGACCATACTGTTTGACAAATGCTCTGATAGAGGTTTAACTCACTTTGAAAGCTCGTAAGGGGTTGAATTTATTTCTAACAAGATGAATCTCAGAAGGCTTTATAGAATAGATAAGAAACAGAAAGAGAAAAAAAGAAGCTATGAACTAACAACAGCACAGATAATTAAACTTCCAGAGCTCACAGCAAAGTTACATCTAGAAAGTTAACTTAAATACAGTTGACCCTATGCTCAAAGATCTGTGTATAACTTACATTTGGCCCTCCAGAAACATGGTTCCACATCCTCAGATTCAGCCTACCCAGGATCTCGTAGTACTATAGTATTTACTACTGAAAAAAATTCACATAGAAGTGGCCCCTCACAGTTCAATTCTGTGCTATTCAAGGGTATAGCACAGACACAGATTAGAGATCTCACGTATATGGAAGTGAAAACCCATCAGAAGTCAGCAAATGAGGATTTTAGTCCTGATGTTACATTTACCAGCTGGCTCTTAATGTGCTATTTCACACATACAAAAAGAGACTGGATTCCCCAGTTCTTAACCACAGGAAAATAAGGTTAGGAAAAGGCACGTGTAGATTTAAATATTTCACTGAGGAGCATGGGCACACCCTGGCTAAGATGCACCAGACCCAGTGGTCTCAAATCTGCAACTGTAGATTGAAGAATTATGGAATATAAAGTTAGTATGTTAAAGAAGCACGTAAACAGTATTAAAAATCTGTAAGTCAGTCTGCTTTGTTGTTGTTTTTGTTGTTTTGCTTAACGTCTCTATACGTGCTTCAGTACTTAAACACCCAATTAATATGTACCGACTAAAATGTCACCTTCCCTGCGTGGATCACAAAGTCCTTGGCAGTCACTTCCATACCAGACTAGTGAGTATTATTGTTCTCATTTTCCAGATGGATAAACAGAGGAGAAAGGCCTTGTTATGTGTCACACATTTCAGTCACCAAATGAGACACAATGGATACCAGTCTTCTCATCCCTTCAACAATAAAGAGCTTTTAAGTTCTTGTAGTCAACAAGGACTTTTGGAAAGATTATACTGGCTGAAAAGGCCTATATATGGGTGACATCCCCAAGTAGGAGGAAAATCAAATTAAAGCTGGGTGTCTAAGCTGACTCTCAGAAGAAGAGACAGAAGAGTTGTAAAATTTTGGCAAAGAGTCTGAAAGAAAATAAATGTAGCTGATTTTCAAGTGCTGTTTTTACACAGTAAAACAAGGGCCAAATTGCTCTTCTTTAAGTAGTAGTTATCTCTTGATTAATAGATTGAATCATTCACTCATTCAATAAATACTTTTTGATTGCCTTTTATGTGCCAAGTATTCATCCCTGTACTGGAAATGTAACAATGACCAAAAGCAGACGATGATGACAGTGATGATAATAATAACAACAGCAGCAGCTAATGCAGCAAGTGCTAATAACATAGTAATATATAATAATTGTTGAATAAAATGTCACAACTCAGGATGAACTAGCATTCTCTTTGGGGCTGCATCCATTGACTATAAGACAGCTAATCTGCTTTGAAATTCCCCCGCTTTAGGGCTCTCTATCAGAAGGAGCTGTTGTTGGGCCTGCTTCTTGGTGGTGCTGTGTCAACCAGTGAAAATGAATTTATGCTCACTGTCCTCGGAAAGGCAACCGAAACTGAGAGCCCTGTGATTTCTTTCATGAATTTTTTTAAATGACTGGAGCCAGCTCTTCTGACTCTACTTCTTTGTTTCTGACGTACTTAAATACTGCAAGAGCTATGTAAAATAAAAGAAATGTCATCTTAATATTGTTTTCACACAAAACAACAGCATTCTTTCAACTGTGCTTGAGATGGAATAAAACACGAGCATATTTGAGAATAACTTTCAATGGTAAATTCATTCTATCCGTGCTTTTTAAGAGTAAATGCTCTGGGGGCTTTAAAAAACATCTCTTCATCTTTTTAAATGTCACTTTACTCACACTGATGATGCTCTCAGATGTTAGGAAATCTCTTGAGACAGAAAGTGGGAATAGAGTGATGCAATATTTCTGAGTGTCATGTGATTTCACAATTTGTTTTTCAATCTCTTTGGACTTCCGAAAAGGAAGATTCTCATATGTCAACAAGCTCATGAACTGAAGCTTAAAATGCTAGAAACAAAACTATAGAGTTTCAAATACAGGAATACATATGGTCATATTGTTTGATGGGATGTTGGCTGGCATTACTGTTTAATCTCCTGGGAAATGTTAATTTTTCTCTGACAGATTTACTAGCTTGCTTTCTCTGAACACATGAACCATAAACAATGCCTAGTAAGAAAACTTTCTGTCTTCTCCAAGGTCAAAGTTGGAACAAGGAGAGGGAATTCAGTTTTCCTTCCTTGACATTATTCATTATTCTTGTAGTCAGTTTGCTCATAAAGAATGCAAACCTCTTACAGTTAGTACAAAGATACAGCAACTTTTCAGAGCTAAAAAATAAACTGATGAAATTGGAAAGATATAAAAGTATACTTATTAACGTCTTCCAGAATTAAAGTTTGAACTCTGTGCTCTCATTGTTAAGACAATGTCAGTGTAACTGTAAATGAGAAAACAAAATGAATTCTTGTCTTCTCATAGTCTACTAGTCTGAGCATCTATGACAATCTCTGCTGGTACTTGAGTACTTAAGATGTTAACCTACTCATGCTTTCCAAGGTTCTATGTGTTTTTCCCAACTCTGTTGAGCATTTCTGATACAATGTAGATGCCTCCGTGATAATAAGTAAATGAAGAGGAAAGAAAAAAAATTAAAGTTTAGAAATGGCATTAAGAATAGTAGCAATAAAATATAATTGTGTGGAAATGACAGCCCTAGAGGCAGGTTCGTCAAATAAAATGCATGGTATTTGATTCAGAGTCAGAAGATGATTGAAATTTGCCTCTATTTGAGCTAAATTATTTGGTAAACTTTAGTCAAAGTTTTGTGATTTGATTTTCAAAATAAAGCTAAAAGAAAATGAAGATATGAATTTATTTTCAAAAGTAAAGTTGCCTACAGTTTTATTAACTACAGTCATCATGCTGTACATTACATCCCCATGAATTATTTATTGTATAATTTGAAGTTTGGACCTTGTGACCCACCTCTGGCAACCGCAAATGTATTCTCTGTATCCATAGAGCTTGGTTTTTGTTTCTGTTTTTTTAATTTCACATGTAAGTGAGATTATACAGTATTTGTCTTGGAACTTGATCAATGGTGATCTCCAAGTAGAAAACCCTTTGTTCTCAGCCCACTGTGCGTCTGCGCAGTTTCTAAAGCTGTTGATATTCCCTATTAGACATTCTCTTCTCTCTTGGGATCAGGGACATCATCCTCTCCTGTTCCTCTCTTTCCTACATTCCTTCTCTACTTTTTGCCTGGCTGAAAACTCAATGATTTATGGAGGCCTTTGGTCCTCTCCTCTTCTTTATGCATTGGGAACAGAAATGGATGAACATTTTCATGGAAGAGATTGACTTGATCTGGGTCTGGAAGAGATGGAGGGATTTGGATGGATAGGGACAGGAAGGCTGGATGGGAAAAAAAAATGTAAAGTTGCCAATTAAATATAAAGTGGTACGAATAGATTATATGGAAATAAAATGCAAACTAAGTGTTTTATGGCCAGATCAGAAGCAAGGCCTTGAGACAATCTTCTTTATTATAATTGCAGAATCCTTCACTGCAGATTCTTTCAGTATTTTTACATTTTTCTCCTCTTTACTATACCACATTGTATTAATGGGTACCACAGCTGTGTTTATTTAGTTTAAGTCACAGTCAGCTTTTCCGTAGAGATTAAGAATTATCCTCCCATAGAGTTGTGGCCTGATCACAGCACTTGAAGTCCCATGCATTTAACATTCCTGTGTAAAAAATATACCACCACACTAGAATTATGATGATATGATGAATCACTCAATAGCAACTTATATGTTTTAAACTTGTTAGAGCAAATATGATAGAAAAAGTAAAATCCCACCTCCCCTACAACTCTTCTAGTCCCCAAGGATATTGTTTTTAAATAAATGCTGCATGAATTTCTTCCGTATCTGACAAATGTGAGAGTATTAATACACTTTGCAAAGTGCACAAT